ATACATATATATATATATATATATATACACCCCACATCTTCTTTATCCATTCATCCATCGATGGACATTTGGGCTCTTTCCATATTTGGCTATTGTTAATAGTGCTGCTATAAACACAGGGGTGCATGTGTCCCCTCGAAACAGCATTCCTGTATCCCTTGAATAAATGCCTAGTAGTGCAATTGCTGGGTCATAGGGTAGTTCTAGTTTTAGTTTTTTGAGCAGCCTCCATAATGTTTTCCAGAGTGGCTGCCCCAGTTTGCATTCCCACCAGCAGTGCAAAAGAGACCCTCTTTCTCCGCATCCTCGCCAACACCTGTTATTGCCTGAGTTGTTAATGTTAGCCGTTCTGACAGGTGTGAGGTAGTATCTCATCATGGTTTTGATTTGTATTTCCCTGATGCTGAGTAATGTTGAGCAGTTTTTCATGTGTCGGTTGGCCATCTGGATGTCTTCTTTGGAGAGGTGTCTATTCATGTCTTTTGCCCATTTCTTCACTGGATTATTTGTTTTTTGGGTGTTGAGTTTGATAAGTTCTTTACAGGTTTTGGATACTAACTCTTTATCTGCTATGGCACTTGCAAATATCTTCTCCCATTCTGTCAGTTGCCTTTTAGTTTAGCTGATGGTTTCTTTCGCTGTGCAGAAGCTTTTCATTTGGAGGGGGTCCCAATAGTTCACTTTTGCTTTTGTTTCCCTTGCCTCCGGAGATGTGTTGAGTGAGAAGTTGCTGCAGCCGAAGTCAAAGAGGTTTTTGCCTGCTTTTTCCTCGAGTATTTTGATGATTTCCTATCTTACATTTGGGTCTTTCATCCGTTTTGAGTTTATTTTTGTGTATGGTGTAAGAAAGTGGGGGGCGCCTGGGTGGCGCAGTCGGTTAAGCGTCCGACTTCAGCCAGGTCACGATCTCGCGGTCCATGAGTTCGAGCCCCGCGTCAGGCTCTGGGCTGATGGCTCAGAGCCTGGAGCCTGTTTCCGATTCTCTGTCTCCCCCTCTTTCTGCCCCTCCCCCGTTCATGCTCTGTCTCTCTCTGTCCCAAAAATAAATAAACGTTAAAAAAAAAAAAATTTAATAAAAAAGAAAGTGGTCCAGGTTCATTTTTCTGCATGTCACTGTCCAGTTTTCCCAGCACCACTTGCTGAAGAGGCTGTCTTTATTCCATTGGATATTCTTTCCTGCTTTGTCAAAAATTAGTTGGCCATATGTTTGTGGGCCCATTTCTGGGTTCTCTATTCTGTTCCATTAACCTGAGTGTCTGTTTTTGTGCCAGCATGTTCCAAATACTTATAAGTTCAGTTCGTACTCCCCAGAATCCTTCTGGACAAGTGATATTTACAGTCCTCCTCCTTTTACAGATGATAAAACTCGGGCCCACAAAAATTATGTAATTTGCCTGAAAGCATGCAAATAGTGGTAATCCTGTATTCAAACCCAATGGGTTGACTTCAGAGCTTGCCTCCTTAGCCATTACACTGTACGGTCACAGCCAGCACATGATAAAGCTGGAATTCAGCCCCAGATAATTTAGCTTCCTTTTACTGCTTCTAAATTGGGGTCCAGATAACTCACCAACGTCATAGAACCAGGAGGTGATAGAAGACAACTTCGAACATAGCCTTTGTTTGATTCCACAGCCTTTCTATTCATCCTCTGCCTTAGAGTGCCCTCACTGGACTAGGTCCTCTATGGAGGCTGCAAAGAGGGGGAAGGTTTCCTTTTTTAGTGGGTCCTGCATTACCTGGGAAGAGGCAAAAACCTCCATCACCAGTCTCAAACTACACAAAGGCAGGAACCAGACTTTCCTTTGTCCACTGAATACATAGCAGGCGCTCAATAAATATTTGTTGATTCAATCAGCATATTTACAGAAACAGAGATGGCTTCTAGGGTGATTCACTCAGCAGGGAACATTAGCAGGTGCTTAAGCAGGAATTGCAATTGCAGATGCAGGCAGGTATCAGAAATGAGTGATGGGATTCACGGGGTTACAAAAGGCCACAATTGGGCTGAGGTCAGACACCATTTAAAAGCACACAGGCAGGGGCACCTGGGTGGCTCGGTTGGTTAAGCACCAACTCTTGGTTTCAGCTCAGGTCGTGATCTCACAGTTCATGAGTTCGAGCCCCGCGTTCACCTCTGCACTGACAGCATGGAGCCTGCTTGGGATCCTGTCTCTCTGCCCCTCTTCTGCTCACTTGTGCTCTCTCTCTCTTTCAAAACTAAATAAACTTAAAAAAATAATAATAAAAAATAAAAGCAAAAAGCATTTTTAGATATTTTCCCTAATGGAACCCTTATGCCCCCCTCTGCACTATTGGGCAGAAAAGTCGCACAACTAAAAGAGGAGTTTAAATCCAGATAATGTGACTTCAGGATGAGCACTACTCTCTCCCAGCTATGGATTATAAGTGTGGAAGTGAATGTAAGAGCAACATCATGGCGGAAAGGGGTCCTCCAGAGAAAAGGAAAAGCTCACAGGGTGTTGGGAATGCTTAGGAACTGGAGGGTGCCTGGATGTCAGCGTGGCCTGTAAAAACTGAGTGGTAGAATTATTATACACAGTCTGCCAGAGAGGATGTGTGCTTTCCATCTTGAAGTTCTCTGTAATTCTCTAAGCTGTGGTCCTTTCCATGAGAAGGGAGAGCTCTCAGCCCAACAAAAGAGCACAGCTTTATGTTGCTCTTCTGACAATGGTAATTGATTTGCTCTAATGCTTCTGTGTTCTCACTGGGAGCCTTTCTCATAAACAGTGACAAACATTCGCAGAGAGCTTTGATCCATACTTCTCCAGCCCCAGCCCTAAAAGGCATCAAGCTACAGAGCCAGGAAGCTCAGTGGACATGACTTTATTGCTGATTTTACAACCCTAGCTACCAGGAGGAAATTTTCTGAGTCCAACAGAATTAGAGCCGAGTTTTTCAACCTTGGCACTGTTACTTTTATGGGGGCTGTCCTGTTCGTTGTGGAATGTTTCGAGTATCCCAGATCTCTACCTGCTAGATACCAGTAGTGGCCTCCTCCATATCTCCCTCCAGACATCACCCAATGGCCCCAGGGGAGCCCTGGCAAAGAACCACCAGCTTAGAGACGCACGCACAAATATACAAGTGTGCACATGATTGCTCACAGTGTATATGGTCACCTTGACACGGGGGCTTTTTTTTTCCCTTTGCTCTTTTGGGGGGATTCCCCCCCTTTACCCTTGTAGGGTTTTTTTTGTTTGTTTTTTCCTTCCTGTTGATTTTGTTTGTTGTTTGGTTTTTAATCCAAAGAGGGATCTTTGCTTCGATCTTGATTCCCATTCAAGTCTATTTCATAAAACCTTTACAAAGAGGGATTATAAGTGCTAGCATTGTTGACCACCGCTGTGTGCTTGGCATTCTGCTGAATGTTTTTGAAATTTAATCCTCACAGTAAGAGGGAGGTCCTGTTGTACCCATCTTACAGATGAGGAAAATGAAGCACAGAGAGGTTGAATCACTGGCTCTAGGTTGCACTGTTTTTGAGTGAAGACAGTTGGGATTCGGACCCAGGCTGTCTGCTGACCTTGTCTGCCTCCTTGTCCGTGATACATTGCCCTTCTTTTTTGGGTGAAACCTACAGCCTCATTAGCATGTGCCCCTTCAATTCCCTACCTCAAAATAAGGACAAAAATGGAGTGACATCAGGGCTGTGGGTCACGGTCACATTCCCATGCACTGAAATCCCGTGTGGTGTGCAGATTATGGAAACACTGGTTTAAGCACCAGTCATGCAAAGGAGAGCCGGCACTGACTGCGGACACGTCTTTCTCTTGTCACCGCCAGAGTGTCTCTATGTGTTCCCGTGCCAGTGGAACTACCGTCCCGATCACTGCATGTACGGAAGCAACTGCAAAGAGGCTGAGCGGGAAGGCGTGTCTGTTCTGCACGGGAACCGAGGCGTCTACCATGATGAAAAGCAGCCAACTTTCAAAGCACTCTATGAAGCAATACGGGATGTAAGTGTGTTCTTGCCGCTGTTCAGCAGACACATGCTTATTCAGCACGAGTCGGTACAGGCGCTTTGGTCACCAGTGCCTTTGAAGGCCAGAGAATCCCCCAGAAGCAGTGAGTGATATCCCTTTCCCCAATCCCAGTCACTATTTCATTATATCCACTTGCCCCCTCACACTATATCCACTCAGTATTTACAACTAAGTCACTCTTTTTTTTGTCCTTAAATAAGTTCACTTAAGGAGGAAATTAAATATCATCAGAAAGAAACCCAGTGCCATTTGCCATAATAGAGGGGAATGTGTTAGGGTAACAATAACATAATAAGAACAAAATGATATTATGCAGCTCGAGCTTAGCCTGTTGCCTGGTTGCCAGCATCCTGTTGAACAAGTGGGCGTGGAGGTGGTCGATTAGGACAAGGGGTCCGACTGCAAGTAAGAATCAAGTGTTTATTTACATATTGCAACAGTGTACTCAAGAGGCAAAAAGAGGCACTAGCCCCCCGTGTTGCATTTTTACCCGGCAAAGGGTACTGATCAGCAGAATGCAGCCTAGAGGCAAAAGTCATCTCAAGGCCTCTGCATCCTTAGGACCCTGACCTTAGGCCAGGGGAGGAGGAAGGAGAAGGGAAAGAGGGAGGAGTGGAAAGATATCACCCTCCCAATCCATCCCCCCTCCCGTGTCCATCCTTCCCATCCCTTGTCCCTGGGAGGCCTCGAAATGGAGGTGCCTGGGATGGGAATGCAGATATGCATCTGAGCGTGGCTGGCCCAGGGCAGGGACCTGAGGGAATGAGTTTAGCCTGCATGTGAGCTAAGCTAACACCGCTTTCTTCTCCTGCATTTCCTGCTGGTGGTTTTCAAAGATCAGGTGATTTAATTACACAGAAAATTTGCTCTGTACTTAGTGCTACCATCACGTTAGATATTCAAACATGGCTTCAGGGGCAAAGCCATTGAGGAGTACAAACAGAAGTTCAATGAGTATGCAGCAGGTATATGTACCTCAGAGCTGTTCTTGGGTTTCTTTTGTGATCTGTCAACCCTAGTCTGGAATTGAGCAACTGTGGCTCGAGTTACAATACATCTTGTTTGCTTTCTGGAGGAGCAGAAAGAAAACAAATAACTGTGTCATAAATGATCCTGCCAAATACCCTCAATGATGATCCTCCCATGGGCCTAAAGGGACCATTTTCAATGAATCATTTCAGATAGGAATGCTCACTAACCCCATCCTGAAACCTGAATAGAAGTAGACTCCCTCTTGGAAGACATGTTTCCCCGCTGTCCCCAGGGCTGGGCACCGTCATGTGGTGGGGTCAGGGCTTGGGGTAGGGGTCAACAGACCTTGGTTCAAGGCCCAATTTTTGCCCCTTTCTGGTGATTAGTCGTTAACTCTTTGCTCTTACCTTACTGGGCCTCAGGTTCCTCATCTGTGAAATGGAGATGATAATATTACCTACCTCATAGAAGTGTTGCAAGAACGCAACAAACTGATGGTTTTTAAACTTGTAGTATGGCACATGACCTATGGTTGTGCTCAATAATTAGACGTTATTAACAGTTTCACACTTGCCTCCTTTTCTACCTTGTCCACATAGTCTCACTTGCTCTCTCTCTCTCTCTTCCTAAGTATTTTCTCTCTCTCACACTGTATTTCTTTCTCCCTTCATCCCTCTCTGAAAATATTCTTCTTGTCCCTCTCCCCTTTCCCCCTTTCCTTCTGTCCCTCTTTCCTGCTTCCTTTCCTTTCCATCTTCTGTCTCTCTCACACACACATCCTAAGCCTGTGTGTCTGTGTTTGGCAAAGGTCTCCTCCCATCGTGACCCAAGGAAGTCATCTATCAGGTACACGTTCTGTCAGTAGTTCTTCCAACAATCATCTATTGCAGGAACAATTCTAGCTTATAGAAACTCAGAAGTTAACAAGACTGATAAAGCCTGGTCCCCAGGACACATATATTGTGGGTGGAGGAAGCCAGACTATACTTACATAAACAAAGAAAGAAGAAAAATCATACCAGGTAGTGAGAGGTGTTAAAAGGGAACCGGAGCAGGGCAATGGGCTGAGAGTCAGGGGTAGGGAGGAGCGTTAGTGAGCTGGGGTCCTCAGGGGGCCTCCGCTAGCCTGGTAGTGTGATTAGTGGGGGCAGCCCTGGGGCAGTTTAGGGGGAGATACTGCTAAGGAGAAGAAATAAGCCAGGGAAAGCCCCTGAGGCAAGGGTCAGTTTGGTGAGCCCGAAGGACAGGGAAGAATTCAGTGTGGCCAGAAGGACAGAGACACCAATGACAATTCCAGGTCACATGGAGCCTTGAGGACAAAGAGGAATTGGAATCTTACTTTAATTGCAGCGTGAAGCCCCTGCAGGAAAGTGATACGGTCTGATCTTTGCTTTAAAAGTATCACCTCAGTAACTCAGTGTGAGGAGGCAAGAGTGAAAACACAAGGGCTATTGATGAGAGTTACTGGAGACATCCAGGAGCAACATGGGGATGGCATGTACTTGTGTGGCACCGGGAAGGTTGGCAGTGGTGGCCACATGTAGGATTCGTTGGAAAGACAGATTTTACAGCGTTTGTGGATTAATGAAAAGAGGGACGTGGGGGAAAGAAAGAATCAAGGATGACTTCCAGGTTTTGACCTATTTTCCTATCACTAGGGACACCATGATGAAAAAGGAGTTGATCAGCAGTCTAAATTGTGCTGTGGAAGAAAACAGTTATCCCAAACATGGTCCTTCTTGCGTTACATAATGCATAATCTCCTTCTGGGAAGAAATTCGCATTTCTGATAAACACGCTTATGCAATATTTCTGATGAACTTTAAAGGGATTAAGGCTTGTTCTAGGAAACCAGACACCCACCCACTCTGCTGCCAGGCAAGCATCTACTGACCTTTTCACTCTTCTTCCTTTTTTTTTTCTACTCTCTTTGTATAAAATTTCCTCGCCAACAATGAATCTTTAACTTCATTTACTAGAGGCCTTTTCCATTTCATCCAGATTGTAATAAAAATTTGACACATGCTCATAACTACGTGATCTTCAGGATCTATTTTGGAAAATTCTGTTTATAGACACCTTCCATGGGAAGACAAGAGAATGTTTTTTTAAAAATGGGGCACCGGGGTGGCTCAGTCAATTAAGCATCTGACTCTTGATCTCAGCTCAGGTCTTGATCTCAGGGTCGTGAGTTCAGGTCCTGCGGCGTTGGGCTCCACACGCCACAGGGAGCCTGCTTGAAAAGAAAAGAAAAGAAAAGAAAAGAAAAGAAAAGAAAAGAAAAGAAAAGAAAAGAAAAGCAAAGCACAGGATTATATGGGAAAAAACCAACAAGCAGTGTTTGGTACCTGAATTATTAAAATGAATTTCATTGATGTTAGATTTCACTAGTAATTGCCAAACTGTGGACTTCATCAGATTACTATAGACATACCCTAGGGTTTCTTCATTTAAGATTGAGACAAACACTGGGGCACCTGGGTGGCTCAGTCACTTCTGCATCTGACTCTTGGTTTCAACTCAGGCCATGATCTCATGGCTCGTGGGATGGAGCCCTGCATCAGGCTCTGCAGTGGCAGTGCATGGACCCTGCTTAGGATTCTCTCTCTCTCTGCCCTTCTGTCTGTCTGTCTGTCTGTCTGTCTGTCTGTCTCTCTCTCTGTCTCTCAAAATAAATAAATAAATAAATAAATAAATAAATAAATAAATAAATAAATAA